ACACGAGCCCACGTGGTAATGTTAGATAAAGGAATAAAAATGTTTTGGTTGCAAATGGTGTGTTGGAATATATATTGAAACACACGGGAATGCATAATCACAGGTAGTAGATACAAAATTGATAGAACAAGCATTTAACAGACAAAAAAGGATGACTGTTAAAATAAAATCCCTCTGGTGTTTAAAATTTTCCTTAAAGGTACAATGCTTATATTTAAGAAATATTGTCTCTATGGATAAACATTTAAATGCACATTACGTTAAAATAATTTTAAGATGCCTAAAAAATGCAATCATCTGCAAACCAAGAAATAAAAGGTGTTTATCGTACTTTTATTTATGATATACTTGTGCAATGAGGATATCCCGGTTAGTCCTCCATTGAGACAGATAACAGCCTAACAGATGAAAAAAGGCATCTTACTAAGCGAGAATTTGTAGTTAAGGCAGCCAAAGGGCAAACACGCATGATTATAAGCCCTCGCCTTAAGACAACTCAAAAAGTATAATAGTCCTATAATATGATTCAAATTATTTTATCTTTATTTTTATGTATATTTCAATGCATATTGGCGAGTTGTGTTTATGTTTTTTTGATTCGCCGCTCTCTTTAATCCATGCATCGCACATGACTTCTGAGTACGTAGCCAGTCTTGACGATGATGGCGTTCGCTACGAACTCGAGCGCCTTGGCTATTCGGCTCCTCCTATTGCTGATGCCGTTATGAGTAAGATTCTTCGAAGAAAGTTGTTAAGACTTATTGATCCATCTGCCGTTATCGATGACGTCAGGTATGTCTCTAATTTTAGCGAATATTTAGGCCTGAAACGGAAACCGAATCGAGTTCCGATGAACAAACAACTTTTCAGAGGCCTCAAGCATGCCAGCTGCCTAATCCATATTTATCGAAACCATATACAGGCACTACCAAAATCCGCTCGAAACTTCCTTTCGCTGCTAAGATTATCATATTCTTGCTCGTTATAGTTACATTTGTATCATTTTTCTCAAAGATGGGACTATTTTAATTACATTTTTACATTATACGGATCATGGTTCAGTTTTTATTCCCTTTTTAAATATCAAGCATCCATGGTCATTAAGTGTATTCCTAGTCTAGGCATATTAATTATTTTTAGTGTCAGTTTGCTCTGGTATTATATATATTTAGTTATGCCCGATTAATATATGATGTATATATATATATATATACTTAGCTGGAACTTTCGGTTATTCTGCCGCATTAATAGTTACTTTAATGAAAATTTGTTCCCCAATCAAGCCGATATCTCCATTGTTTTAGAAAGCAACATCACTTTTAAAGGAGCGCTTCTATCAGAGTGTCTTGTTTTTATCAACAATTTACTTCTTGTTGCCTTCCCTGAGATATAATTCAAAACGAACTTTCCTCGACTGCATTTGCGGATTCGCCCTTCTCATTAGCTTTTCGAATCTATTTGAAAGGGTTTTGGGATACTCACTAGCTATCATTATTTTTTATGATAAGATTTTGCTCTGTTATCTATGCTTACTGAACGCTACCTTGTGATGTATTAACATCACTAAGTTCCTATTGTTAAAAAATAGAAAGTAAGTAAAATATCTAAAGGCTCAATTTAATAGACAGTACAGTCGAGTGCGTACGCAAGCCTCCAGACACTGTCTAGCAGAAATCTACAGTTCACTTATAATTTACCCATCAATGTGTGATGATTAAGTGGCGTTATTCAGGAGGCTGCATCATTATCCTTATTGACAAATTAAATAGTCGGGTTCTCAAATATGTTAAATAAGGCAAGGATGCACATCGCAGTCAGAAATTAACCGTATCTCTTAAATTTCAGATAAAAAGCGTAACTGAAAAAGATCATAGCCTTTGTTACCCTTTCTACATTGGACATCTTATAGTTTACTGAGTCGTCTTAAACACAATCTAACCATCTCTATATTCATATTTTGGCAGAATAAGTAAACCAAAGAGCATGCCTTCACTTGTAGCGTAAACTATTCCATAAGGCAAGATATTGCACCTAGATGGGGTCCTTAAATATATAGCGATAAATGCAATCATCTGAAGGTAACTGGGAGCTAATATATTTTTTTATACTCGATCGCCTGATTTCAACTTCGTTAGTTGGATAGAGGTTCCCTTCACCTATGGTTTTACGTTGAATAGCTCGCGACTACCATAGTTGGGATGTACGAACCAGACTGTCCTCCCTACTCACTTTTACGATGCTCGGGTGCTAAATAATACTTTGAATGATCGCTCTTAGACTGAACATAGCTATTGATTTGTTTTGAATATTTCCGTTTTATAATTAGGATATCCTTTGTGACAATCTAGCCTAGTGGTTAACTTAGCGAGATTGCACGCTGCATTATCATGGTTCGAGTCCATCTGGGAGTGTTTATAAGGCCT